ACCTTAAATTATGATAATGTATATTGAGTTGCGGTGATTTTATGTTTGGGGACTATTCACTCACAGATGGCGTGTGAATATAGTCCGTGTGGAAATTCTATCTCAACGAGATTCTTTTCTACTCGTTATCGAGGGTGGATGGCTGGATTTTAATACTTTTTCCCCGAAAGTTTCCTCTTTCGGGCGTTGTATGCAGATACGCGCACGCGGTCGATTTCAAAGAGTGTCCCTTATCATGTTTTTTCACATCCCTTGACTTCAAAGTCTAGCAATACGCGTTTGATGCGCGCGCGAAAAAAAATGCAATCTCTTTAAATTGTGTTGGAAATTGTGTGGTATTATTTTAATTTTCAACAAGTTTTCATCAATTGTCTAGCTTCTAGATAGAACTTTTAATTGTGCATGCCTCCAGTTGTGAATACGAATGTGCTTCTCTTTGTGGCACAAAGCGTAATTATGTATGTAAATCGTAATTTGCATTGAACTTTGAACATTGAACAATTGCGACCCGAAATATGATTCAATTGTGAGCGCGCGAGCGTAGGAACAACTTCATATCGCGGACGCGCGCACATGTATCGCGAAACAAAGCGAGCGTCAAAACTCTTTGTTAATTACGCCCCCGCCCGCCGCAGCCCCCCATGTTCATTAAAGCTCGTTAACATCCCAGCTTGGTGCCCCCGAATCGAATATTAACACGCTTCAAAGAGCAATCGGATGGCGGACGCTTGATGATAGATAACCAGGCGGTGTCGACGACGTGCGATGTGCAAAGTTGGACTTTGTGAATTTCGGGGCGCGCAGGTTACACATTATGCACGCCACGGCGCGCACATTCACTGATTGCATTAATTATTATTCAAATCGCATATGCGCCCGCGCGATGTGTAATTCGCACGAACCATTTCATCTCTCATTTCCTGCGCAGAAGACGCATGCATATTCATGAGCGGCTGACGGAGGCGGCGGCGAGCTGGGCCGGGCTGGAATGGTCTGGTTAGTTAGCGGGTTAATTTCCCTCGTGATCTCCATTACGCCCGCTTCGGCGCACACGAACACAATTAGAGATGTATTTCTCAAATTGCCAGCAAATGTTGCGTAATATTTTTTTCGTGTATGATTGGTTGCGGAGATTTAATTTTTATAACTGTTTGTTTGTAGGTGGCGCATTAGGCATTGTAAATTTTGTAAAATGATAGGGTAGTTTGAAATGAGACGTAGGGGTATCAATAAAATCGATACAAACTCGCTTTGCAAGGCCGAATCGAGCCATCGATACAAATTCCCCTTTTATTTTTCTTAAAAACCTCGTCATCTCATTCTCCCTCTCGAGCGGGTGCAAAAAAGGGGTGTCCGCCTTGGAAGGAGGGTAATAATGCAATTTCGTGTTTTTCTCCCGCGCTGCCGGCGCTGCCGAACTGTGCGGCGCGGCATTAAAGTATTTATAGGACGGTTTTAAGGTTTAAGGTCCAGGGTCCCGGGCGCGAGATGTGCGCACGCGGAGGCGAGACATTTTCTCGTTAATGCGAAATTTATCGATTTTAATATTTTCTCTCCCACCCGCCAAACGAACGACTGACGCGCAACGGCGAACTTGTACGTAATTACGTGTGCGCCCGACGATTTTTCGTCCTCTCTTCCTTTTTCTTCGCTCGCTCGCCGCCGCCGCCGCGCCTGGATTTCATAGACTCGTGTGTGCAAATCGCACATATGCACACACATCCATCTCGGGAGGCCCCCGACGTCTCGAGGAAAGTCTTTAGGAGGTAACAATCGTCCTCGCTCCGTCTCGGCGCAAACTCCTCGCTCTCTCCTTTCTCGCTCCCCAGCGAATTAAAGTAATTTCAAATTCGATTCCGTCGCCAGAGGGACAGATAGATGAGTGGTCCATCGGAACAATTCGTTCGCGCATCGATCCGCCGACCGGCGTCACTCACGACTCGTCTGGTCGGCTACTCGACGCCGCCCCGCCACCGCCACCGACGCTCGGCTTAGCTATTCAAATCTCGCTTCGATTGCAGTCGAACTCGCTTCGCGCGCGCACTGCGACTTAAAGATATGTCCATATCCTCACGCACACCAAACACATACATCCAAACACTTCAATCTCTAATAGCAATAATGATAGGTTAGGATAAACTGCCACGGAATGTAAACAAAGTTGCCTACATTAAAACCAGGAATGTGACGGCCGGTATTCGGTGCGATACATTGAATAATCATCAACACTTCAAAGAATGCTGTTTCATTCGCTCGCTGCGCGCGTGATCAATGCACGAATTATAAATATCAATAACACGTTCGAAACAAGCTGAAAATATGTCGCACTCAAAAGCGCGCCGACGCTTCACGTAATTTCTTCTCCTGCATCAAAGTCGCGTGGACACCATTCCAATCATCCGCAGACATTAATAAAATAATTTAATGCCTCACCCATCCGAAATCAATTTATTTCGCTGATTTGCATTTTAATATTTTATTTCACATCTGTGTGTGCGTACTGATAACACGCATAAAATCACTCGAAATTAATTGATTTTAATTATACGATTTGTATCGAAATTAATTTACATAAATTATCCAGCGCATCAGATTTAGATATTCGGATTATTGCGTGTAGAAATACGACTAACGATCTTTTCATGCTAATTAAAAACGTTCTAATAAGATGTCCGGCTATGGCGCGCTCGTCAGCGATTATAATTTACGATAAAAGATATAAAAGTCTTTAGAAGTTATAACGCATAACAACATAAATTATGCATATCTGTACGAGCATCGCATTTTTACGACACGCTCATAACAATGACTGCATGCGTGTGTGTGTCGAGTGACGGCGGCGGCGGCATTTCGGGCGTTTTGTGTTTTGTCGCGATTTCATTCAGTAGTTTTCGAGAATCAAGTCGGGTATATCACGTATGTGTATGCACATGTGTTTAGTTCGACTATGTGCGCACAGATGGCGCTAGCATGTATAAAACTAACGCTGAAAAGCAAAACTCCGGCGCGTGTGTGCCGCGATTTTCACTATTTATTCAATCTTCAAGCCGTTTGAAGGCGCTCGAAATGATTTTCTGTACTTTGTAAGCTAGTTACCAGTGTAAAATATGAATGTGTCGTGCGCTAGTGGCGCACATGAAGTGGTTTTATAGCTGATCTAAATTATAACCGGCCATAAACATTAAAAGGCGGAAAATAAAGACGAGCCGAAATAAAAACGACGGCCGAGCGCGCTATTAACGCACCGCGCGCGAGCATGTACAACAACAATGAACTTGAACAAGCCGGGCGCGCACTTTACACAATGTGCACGTGTGCACGCTGAACGAAGCCATCATAACTACACATTGTTATATCACGCGTTTGAGAGCGCCGTTTTTATTTTGGGCCGAAAGTCGCTTTTTTCGTAGAACTCGACCGGCTACATGACTGCAAGAATACGTCTATACATCTTCGAACGGGTTCACGCATTGTTTTCTTTATTCTTAAACAAAAAGTAAAACGGTCACAGCATATAATATACTGTACGAGGTTAAGTATTGTTTGTAAGATGTAAGAGATTTGGAATACTAAGATGACGAATTACAAATAAAAAACAAATCAAATAAAAGAATGATTCGGAAAATATTCAAGTTCTATACGATTGCGATAAAGATCGAACGTATTCTCGTTGGCCAACGGTTGTCGGAGAACAATGCGACGCTTATAATTAATATATTATATATTCAAATTAAGCCCAGCGCGCTTGAATAAAAATTCCATTCTACGCGAGGCCGGTTGTTGCGCTTGATTTTCGATTCAACATTTTAAATTCAAGCGTAGACGACCATCGAGAGCGGAGATAATGAATGCACGTCGAAACGTCGAAAACCGCCGAGGAAACAATCAGAATAACTTCGCCGCGACGACATGCATCTCCTCCTGACAGCCTGACGTCGAAATCTTTCATTCATACTCGAAAAAATACTATCATCGAAACAATCACAGGGTGTTACAACGAAAAAACTATTTTAAACGCTTAAAAGCGAAAAAAATAAAAATTATAATAAAATAACATAAAATTTTCACTTTTATGCGTAATATTGAGTATTAAATGAGAATTTTCGAGTAGTTTACAGGAATGTGACGATTTAAACTTTAAACTATGTAAATTTTTGTATTCCGCTGAAACTGAATAAAACAGCACTCCAAGTAAAAGTTGAATGAATGAAACCAGCGTTCGCGTCACCGTCACAATTCACATCTTATCTCATCGTCTGCAGCGACGGACGGTAGGAACATTGTGCTGCAACACACATACACACACACAAGGTAGGAAAAGTAGCAAAAGTCGCAAAAGTCTCGCAAGAATGAGGCGCGCAGCGACATTATATCAGGGTCATTCTTCACTCGCACTCGACTCCTCAACCAGCCACTTTACCCAACGTCGCGGGGCACTCTCATCGAAACAGACAGAAATTTTCAACGAGTCGCACACTTTTGTTTTCATTCTCATTCCGCGAGCCTTGGAAATGAATGCAGAATGCAGAATTCCGCATACACATACAATGCGCAAACACTTTAGTCCACTTTAGTTCGCTTACAACGAGTAACAACCTGGAGGAATTCCAACGATCAACATCGCTACACTTTACAACGACTAGACACAATGCCAATGTCAATACGAGTGTAAAAATTAGAAAACTAGAAAAGTTTTTGTGTTTCAGACGCAATAAAGCCTGTAATAAATTATACTGACGTGTAAAATTACGTGGATGTAATAAAGTAAGTCCGGTAGTCTTCTCTAGTTCCGAAAATTTCCTTATGACACGTACGCAACAATTAAAAACGAGCGCGTATGTAGAACACGTACAACCATTGGGTTTTTACTTTTTACGTCTCTTAGTGAAGCAACGCACGTTGCATATAAACATGTGAGTTACGTTTGTCAGTCGTCCTCAGAATATTCATATTGTTTATGTGGATTTAATTTTTATGCATAAATTAAAGCTATTACTCACCAGATGGTTGATATTTTCACTCTGCGTTCGTAGATGGCGTTGTGGACCTGTAAATAAAAAAGAAAAAATGTCATAATTTTGTTTGCAGGATAATCGTAGTGATGATTTGAGAAGATTGTCAATCGTAGGTCGTTGTGCATGGTGTTTAATCTACGTAACAAGCCCGTCGTGTAATGCACCATTTCTTTTCCGAAACGACTTAATGCCCGGTGTCTCCCTCTCCGCGCTGCGATTTTAACGCTAGTGACGACTCTTCTAGGTATAACAATGCAAACGCATAACGACCATCCGCGCCGCGACCAATCTAACAACAACAACGTGTATACCTACGCCACAATGTCGTTTAACTCTGAAATAATATGCACAATATGTTTACTTATGCATGCGATTACAACCGCTAAATGTGCGACGATAGTTAGCATCGCCAGCAATGCGACAAACGATGCAAACAACAAACAAACACACATTAACATATATTGTCATATATGCAGTTGCGTTGTTGCGGAGAGATAGCGTTAGACTGTTAGAGAGCAGCATGGAGAAGAGAGGAAAAATAGCGAGCCATTCATGGATCGTCGTCGTCGTCGTGCAAGTCGTCGTCACAGGCGCAGGAGTTATTCAATAACACTAATTCAAATTGCCATAACAATATAATAATGTCGCATGCAGATGGATACTTGTACGCGTACCTCGGCGCGCACACGGCGATAAATTACTTCTGGCAATTGACGCTCATTATGGCCAGCAACGACCCGAACTCCGATGTAAACGGCTGCAGCGTGCTGCAAGACACGGAAAAGCGGACGATTTGGTTCGCTAATGTATGCGCTTTTTATCATATAGGTAGATTCCCGGTGATTGTTAATCAGTTCGACGAAATAAAGTGGTTAAAATTCATTCATGAAGCGATGCAAATGAGGAAAAACTCACAATTGAATTGAATTCGTTGAAAAATGACATTTACGCTTTTAAAATGTCACACATGATGTAACCTGACGTCAAATTTATACAACGCTGTTTTATACAAGAACATAACCTATCCTAAAGTTTCTAAAATGTAAATTTTAGGTTAGAGTTGGGTTTACTGAGACATGCCGATAGATGTCGCTAAAGTTGATCAATCTAAGTCTAAAAATAATTTCCACCGAGTTTCTCACACGAAATGAATGCAAACACGTCTTCGTTGTGGACGAGATTAATTCCACTGCGCTATTTGAATAAAACCTCAGGTGGGACACATTGGTTTGCGGCATTTCTATGTTAATTAAATGTGTTAATATACGTAAACAAGCCATCCAGAGCGTGCGTACCAACGAATACATATGCGAGCCGAGAATTATACGCTCGCGCTGCTTTTGTTAATTGGTATCACATTAGCGATAGCGATAAACATCGAAATTTATTGCTGACAAATTTTTATTCCTCGCGACGCGGCACAAATTTCCCAATTAGTTCGGATTTTAGAATTTATTGAAATCGCCCGCGGATTACACAAAAAATCGAGCCTCGCCCAACTGTGATACTCAAGGAGATGTCGGCTTGAAGAGTAGTTAAGTGAAGTATAGGTGACCAAACTCGACTCAATTGAGTTTTGTCGACGTTAATCATATCATTAATTACTTTATTACCTTATATTACTTTTTATTTTAATTTGTATTAAATTACCTACCTAAGATTTAAACATACCGATAATTTGTTTATTCTGTACTTAGATTGCAATTAAAGTAAAAATAACCTATTAATACCTCTGTAATAAATTTAAAAGAATACTTTCCAAATAAAGTTTTTAAATCATTAGATGCATGCATGAATTTTGTTTCAGTATTAATATTAATCCTGATGGCATTCGATAAAAATTAACTAAAAACCACCGAAAAATCTATTCAACAGCTGTTTCAGACCGCTTTACTATATGTAAACCTTGTTAAGCTTAATATCTACTAACGGTTACTGATAATTGTTATGAGAATTTAAACAATTTATGAGTTTAGGAAGCAGAATAATGATTTAATTTACGACAGAAATTTAATATTTTAGCTATTGACGTAGATATAACCTCGATTTAAGATGACATCTGTCATAATTATCGCGGGAATGCTTCGAAACAGATTTCACGATATTTTTTATGACAACAAAACCTAATACTGAATTAATTATAAGTAATCGGAATCATTCTACAACTTCATTACTAACCTTTTAAATATACAGCAATAAATTGCTATCCATTAATTGTCAACGATTAAAGTAATAATTTATTGGGTTGATTTGCATGGATTTAATTCTAATTTTAAACGCATTTTTCGCTACTTTTATAACTTTTGCACAGCATCGGTGGTTCAGTGGTAGAATGCTCGCCTGCCACGCGGGCGGCCCGGGTTCGATTCCCGGCCGATGCAAATTAGTTTTAATTTTATACTAATTGTGAGATAAGTATGTAGTTTTAATCCCACACAACCCCTTTGCTTTGCTTTCATGGTACCAAAATATATTGAACTGGGCCGTTTTTGGTATATTTATTAAATAAATTGTACAGTTTTTCATGGGGACAAATACCTACATGTAAGCAAAAAAAAAATAGAGCAGTCCATATTTCAAAATTGGCAACATGTCATCAACGCGTTTACATAGTGATTGTTTTTTAAAGAAACTGTGTGAATTTAATGCTATTATATCCAGCCACATTACGATTCATGTGTATGGAATGCATTCTGTAATATTTACTCGTATCTCACTGTATATTTCCATTAATTCTGGTATATATTATCACAACCGGGTTTATTTGTTATCACTTCTTTTGCACAGCATCGGTGGTTCAGTGGTAGAATGCTCGCCTGCCACGCGGGCGGCCCGGGTTCGATTCCCGGCCGATGCAAGCGTATTTTTAATTTTTACAGTTACATCTTGTTTAATACTCAAATATGCGAATGCGAAGCTAATTGAAATTTTAGATTTTGTTTTTCTAGATCTATTTGAAATTACGTAATATATTTGTCCAAAAGTGGTAGGTTTTAATTTAATTTACGAGACACATTAAAAACTTTGCACAATATTTAAAAAAAAATTCTCATTTCTCAACAATAATTCTAATTTAAGATCTGATCTGTTATAATACCTCTCGAAAATAACAAACACTGTAATTTTTCACAAAATCTCCATAGTTTTCGTACTGTTATTGTACACGCAAGTGATTTGCATGATTTTATTGTTAACCATTTACGGTAGAATACAATTTGGTGGCATACCAAGCACATAAATGCTAATAAGCCTGCCGCAGAGACAATCCGCAAACCTGTAAAAATCCGCGGACCTCGCATATTAACGCACTTAATATGTAAAGATGTAAACTAAACGAACAGAAACGAAAAAAAAAACACACACACCAGCGCAATAAAAACGCGTCGGGGCTTAATGGATTTTCGACACACCGGGCGAGATTTCGAGCCGTGAATTAAACGCAGAATAAAAATCGTCCACCGACTGCGGCGTACAGGAAACTGTACATTGTACAATACAGTCAGCAGAGAGGAAGAGATAAAAAATAAGGCGGCAGTAAAACATATGACACATCCTTATGAACTCGCAGCGTATCGTAATTAACAATCTATGCAAATCCACGTCGCGTATAATTTTATTAAGCTCGAGATAATACACCGTAATTGTTATCTGTGTACGAGTCGTACTTTTTTTTGTTTCTCGTGACATGCAACATAATAGTTTTTTACGAGCGCCGGCGTGCGAGATCATCTAAGACAATTCCAGTTAATAATTTTAATTTTTCGAAATAAACCAACAAAACAAGCTCTAGATGAACACGTGTGTGCCATCTCGTATTTTAAGATTTCCAGTAGCAGCTTGTAATAAAGTTAGAGACATTTTTGTGTGTCCGTTGTGAATTAAAACAATGTGACTGTCGGTTAATTTAAAAGCGAGCATTCGACTGTCTGCGCTTAGCATCTCCTCTCTCTGCGCGGCTCATTTATGCGCGCCGTGTGTCGTTTTGAGTTTTGTATATTTCGTATGTTTAAGCGATGTTTATCGGGCGCGGTGTGCGCGCACTCGCGCTGAATACAAATGCAAATGGCCGGCCCGAACGTAGAGGAGAGGCTTTTGTGCGCTGTGCGCTTATTTGCCTGCGTTTACATGCGCATGCGACGACGACTTCAGAGAGTCGGTGAAATAATGAACAATTATAAAACGCATGATAATTCCCCACATCCACCCGATGACGAGGACGACGACAGAAGCTCGCGCGGAATCGTGAATGAGCAGAGCTTTTCTGTGAGAGATTTTTAGTGCTTTGTTTTATTCGTTTATCTGTGAGTGTCACTTTTAATTCACGACAGGATGTCACGATGAGGCAAGAGGAGACAGAGTTTCTTTTATTACTACCAGGGACAAAATACTTCAAAAGTCAATCATACTAACAATCAGTGTAATGAACAAAAGTTAAGTTATATTTTCATGGTCAAACTTTGGAAGTGATTATCTTGATTGTTTAAAATCACAAAGATTTTGTTAAGGTAGCATTTTGTAGGCAATTTAATGAAGAATAAACTTGCAAAAGGAAAATCTTGAATGCTTAGTAATTTTGCTGTGACAACAAAAAAAAAAGTAAAATTGTGCACATTTGTATTTCTGTAACCAAAATCAGAAGCTCAAATTTTAGGTTAGGTAAGGTTATCCTATACTATTTTGATTGCATTTTTGAGAATTCTGAGATATTTATCTATACACATCCATCTCCTGTCATTTACACGTCCCACCATCCCTTAGTCTATCACCCATATCACGCAGTGTGTTAAATGAAAGTCTACTTTGTTTCCCTCATAACGTCACGCATCAGCCGTTAATATCAACAATGGGGATGCATCTTCGATGAGATAAGTCAGAACAATATTTTTCACACTGGCAGGACAACTTCATTAATATTATCATATCGTAACTAATCAATCAAAACTGTTACTCAAACTACAATTCTATATTTTTATTTATATCTGAATAAAAGGTTGGTGTTTCCATTTTTTGCGTAAACATTTTGCAGTAATAT